GGACCCCAAATAAAAATTATGGCAGTTCTGAAAGGCCCACGGACTCCGCTTGTTTACCCTGTCGCTGTTGCCCCTCACCCAATGATATTGTGTTGTGTGTGTGTGTGGGGGGGGGTTGTCTGCTGCAACAATTGAAAATAGAATCATGCCAATTGGGGGCCGCAATTTGACTTCAGCTCAATATGCTGATCGAGGTGGAGCGGCCCTAACGTAGGTCAATCATCAAATAGCATATTTTTTAGATTTGCACACATTAGATGGTTTATTAGTTAATGCAGCTGTAGCCACGTTTGAGAGCGCATTCTACAAGCGCACACAGACTGCCGCCGCTAAAAGTGCACGTGGTGGACTCGAGTCTCAAGTCCACCAAGGTCAACCCAAGCACGACAGAGAGCTGCCCAACCCTACTGGCTCGAAGTTCCCGCCCTTGCTGGACGTCAACGTTCCTCCTGTGAAGTGAAAACTCCCAGCAGGGCGGGTGCCATGTTGCACGATTCGGTAGTGCGCACCTATACTTCGCTACAGTTGAACGTCGCCATTGCTGGTAAGTAAAGCGTTTATTGTGTTAACCTGTAGCATGTATATGCACTACTGCTACTACTGACGATTACTGTTTTAAACTAGCGCCGACTGAATGATATCACTTGCGACCAGCTCATTGGGAAGAGCAGGCTTAGCTTTCTTCCAAGAAGTCACCCTCGTCCGCTTCTCCGAGCTTCCATTGACACTGCTGCTATCAACTTGAGTACTCTGTAAGACCTCGTGTGTTAATAGCCTTCCACCCACTGTAATGCGCTAATGCTTCTTGTTGACATTATTTATAGGTGGCGATGGCACTTCGGGGCCTCTCCTTCAACAATTTCGTTTTCATTTGCAGCCATATAGCTAGCTGGAGGTGACGGGGTACTCTTTTGCGCTTGAAATTATTCAAGTGCGATGTCATCTTACCAGCGACAACGGAAACAATCCAAACGACCTGAAACTGCTCTCAACGTTTTGGCCTATACGAGGCCCTCGCGACGCTATGCCAGCAATCTTAATTGCGCCGTCCTTGCTGATAGCGTAGTAGCCATTGCCATCTTCCTCCACGAGCTCCTCAATAAGAGTTCTAATCTGGTTCTTTTGAGTAGCGAACACGGCGACGTCTAGCGGTTGCAGGAGATCTGTGCAGTCAGGAGACAGGAGGTCAAGCATGATGCGCACCCATCAAGAACCAGCACAAGAGGGCGCTTCACAAACTGAGACACCACGTCAGCAAAAACAAATGTAGCCATATTTTAAAGAGATCTAAGCGCATAAATCCTGAGGGCGACGTTGTCACAGCTGCCCCTTCAACGTCACAGGTCGCCAGTAGTCGTGGCGATATAGCTCACCAGAAAGATTAAATGCAGGACGCATTACAAAGCCGCTTACACTTCCACAGGCCACGATCGTGAGGGGAAATTGGCAGTAGCTTCGTGCTCCACACGTTGCTCGACCCCCTAATAGCGACGATTTGTTTGCTTTTAATCTGCTTCTGGAAAGCCATTTTATCCAAAATTAAAAACACGCAAGTAATCGAGCTTCAATTCCACGACGAGCTTAGCATAAGTGTTAAACGGCATAGTTAGATCATCCGGCACAATGCAGTTGCGCTTGTGTGAAAGAGATTGAGCCGTTCGCCCCGTGAGTAAGGGGTAGCGCTCCTTAAAGCTTCGATACCACCCCTCGCCGGTGCTTCCTCCGCAACCAAGTAGGGCCAACTCTTGCGCTTTCCAATGATCACAGAGCGGTTGACAGGATGATCGACAATTGTCGACTAACCACCAAATCCAAAAGCTGCTGCTCGGCCACCTCAGAAAAAAACCGGCTTAGGGCCAGGCCGTGCAGCACACAATGACCTTCATTCGGACTCTGCTGTCAGCCATTTCCGAATTGTTCTTTGATGAATGTCAGTTGCAGTGGAAACAGCTGCAACAAGCGAGTGTAGCTCTGGCGTGTAAGTGCTAGCCATTGTGCTGATTTGGAAATGAAAGCACCATGGAAGATCGCTGCTTCTCCACCACTAGTTTACCAAGTTATCGCCAGCTCAGTTACTCTTCCCGCCAAAAATTTACGCGTTAGTTTGTATGGGGTTTCGTACTTATTGTGATTCTGCGAATGGGAAACACGAAAGCGCACCGCAGTCTGCTCACTGGTCAAAATATCATGGCCCCTAATTGATCAAACGGTCTCGAATAGACAATGTGTCTTACTGTCTGGTCCGCCTAAACATGGCCCTTTATGTTTTACGTGGTCCACATATCCACACTTCAGCCAAGCATAAGCCATTATTTTCATGAACCGTGATGATTTAGTAGTTGTAGCCACAGGCGACGGGAGTACGTCATGCATGACATGCAGGCATCGTTTATAGCCCATGGCTGCACAGCGTCTCAGTCGCTCTCGAGCTGCTCGGCTATATCGGAAAGGTAATAGACGCACGCAACCCACCGGGTCGACTTCGTTACGATGGCTCACTTGCCGACGACTTACAATATACAGGGACATCCAGGGACGCCACTTGGTAGCCCTGAACGGCCTTCGCTTCCACAGAAAGGGGACGACATTCCGGTTCCCGTCACGAAGGGTTGTGCTTCAGGAACGCGTCGTCCTCAGCCCCAGTGATCGTAAGCCACTGTCCCCTCGATCTCCAAACCCACTAGCCACTTCAGACTACAGCCTCACTACGCACCAATGCCCTTTTCGATCTACAACCCTCTCTGTAAGTCTTTCTCTCAGTGCTGGGTGAGGTCGGCCCCGCAGAGCCTCACGCGTAAGATTAGCTGCTTAGCCTTACCTTCTCCTGGCTAGATGGCAACTGAGAGTTTGGCGGCCAGGACCGGCGGTCCAGTGCACTCCCTACTGACTGCTTCTCCTTCGATCCTTAGTCGCCTCTCCTTGGTTCTCTTGCCTTCTGCGTAGTCCGTCCTTGAGTCACCTCTCCTGCGCGATCTTCTCCCTTCCGACTTCTCACACTCTGTATCCTTTTCGACTTCTGGCCGGTGCCTCCAGCCGAAGATCGTTGCACATGTCTGCCACCAACTGCCCCAACTGTCGACCGACTTCAACGTCACTCGCCGGTCAGATCTATCGTCACTATGTCGGGGCTCTGTGGAGCGTCAGGCAGTCGACGCACGCTTCGCGTATTATATCAACAAAAAACGCTGAAAGACCTCATTGCTAAAAATAAGTCATAATGCGCAGTACAAGACATCTAGCGCCTCCAATATATCAGCCCTAGGCATTTGTACGGTGTCCCGAAAGTACCACGTAATATCGCTAAATATTGACAGTTTTACGACACAAAACCACACTGCGTTTAATATTTCGTCTGAAATTGTCAAGTTAACTTCTGATGTGCCTGCCGTGATTGGTTCAGAAATACAGGCTTTGCAGATTACGCTGAAAGCTCTCTCGTGTTGTATATTTTGACAGATATACCTCAAAAATAAGAAAGTTATAGTTTACGGTAGAGAAGTATGGGTTTTACGAGTCTTGGTCTTTCTATGCGATAGATAAAAGGAAAATGTCAAAACGTGTATGGATACACCAAAGGTCTGTCAAAAGGTGTACTTTGCACAGCCGAAACCACGTTTCATACCGACAGACGTACTGACGCAGCTTTTGTCCAAATCCGTGGTTAGGCAGTGTGCAGCACCACAAAGATGGGCTGTTCGTGTTATTTTGGTTCCCGGAACTTCTGAGTGAATCAGAAGCACCATTTTTTGAGTGAGGGACGTCCGCCCTTCTAACGCACAACACCTGCATGCTCGCCGCTCTACAAAGGCCGGCCACCACCGGCCAAGGTCACGAGCACTACATGGCTCGCCGTGCTCCAGTCTCGGACTATTAGAGAACTTATAGGCTCACTACGATGACTACAAGACTATATAGCGAATTCACATGTATTACGAAAGGTACGTTCAGAGCTTTCGAGGCACTCTCAAAGGCCATCCACATCCGTATCTCGTCATTGTAGTCTAGCTCAGCCCCCCCCCCCCACCCCTCTTCTTCTCCTATGTCGTCAATGTCCTCAGCCATTTTCGTGCCCCACAGTCGGAAAATGCGAATATGACACTTCTACAGCCTCAACCAGCCTTCCCCTCTGACGCATAGAGCTAAATACCGGGGTTCTGGCAACCCGCTCACTCTAAAAGCCAATCCGGTCAGATCGCTCACACCTTCGAAAAATAACACCATTGTTCATACACCTACTGACACCCTATCACACACTGTCAAAACCGATTATTTCAAAAAACACGTTCTGACTGTCTTTTGGCAGACCTTTGGTGTACCCATACACGTGTTGACATTTTCCCTAGATAAAATTTGGGTTCATGACTTCTTAAATAGCTAGGAATAATATGTTGGTTCACAACGTTAGGTTCATCTGCGTTAAATCGTGATCTTTTCCGCAGTTTTAACCGATTACATGAGGTTGAAAGAGAATTCAATCATCGACCAATAAGCTTGACAGGACAACGAATTACCTAGCAGACATCAACTGTAACTCGCAGGCTGTAAGCTTTAAGGCTTCTACGCTCGCGCTACGGCACTTCTTCATGTAAGCTCAATAAAATGTAATGTATATTTTATGTTATGCGATAGCATGCAAATGTACAATAGTGAACAGTTGTCACTACAGTGAACACCACCATGGATATGTTTTAGCACTGCGCTGGTCGACTCCCGCAATCGCTATAATTTTGCTTGGGGGGGGCACTGTAGAGGAGGTTTGACTCTCCTCTTCCGATTACAACGATGGCTTGCTTTTGTGCAAGTTGCATCTGCAGTCACACCGGATGGCGGCCATCCTTAAAAAGAAACGCTGTTCACATCTCAGTGTAGGTAGGTGTCACGCCACCACGCCTACTACACAACGCGGTCACGTGCATAACTCGTTACAAAATGCAAAACTTGCTCCCCCGTAGCTTATTCCCTTTCAATTCTTTCGCGGCCTCGGTACACCTTGACCTTCAATGGCTCCTTCCGTATTTTCGTCGCTTGTCGTGGCTGCTGTGCTTTCTAGCGGTGAGCTGCTCGCCCCCACGGCCACCGCTCACCAAGTTGTCCTGCTACCATCCCCGACCTACACAACCGATGATAAGGACACGAAATATGCACCTCTGACCTTTCTGGAGGGCCAGGGATACGAGACCGTCGAGGACTTTAACGGCTGGCGTCGCAACAACGGGTATAAGACTCTGCGTGACTTCATGGAGTACACCGTCGCGGATGGAGCCGACTATTACTGTGGCTTCACGAATGTTAACGCCGCTCCGCAACCTAATCCGGACGGAGCAATGCGTTCCACGGGCTACACACACGATGGCCCGTGTGAGGTTTGGCTCGACAGCACACGCGTGCTCCAGTCGGATAACTGCCACGAAACCATTATTGGCAAGACCTATAATTTGGACTACAGCTCGTGCAAGGGCACCTGCACGCTACGCTGGTACTGGCTTGGTGTGCGTTTTCTCAAAAACGCCTACTCGTGGCAGATCTACAAGGCTTGCATCCCGCTTTCGGCTTCGGCCCGACGTCTTGAAGTTGCCGCGAACAAATCGGTCGTCTTTGACCCTACAGCCTAATAAGCGCGAATCGGTGGTGCCTCATGACGTTTAGAGCATCTCCAGCGGTTAGACTTATTTTCAGGTCGCAAAAAAAACTCACATTTTAAGATAAACCTGCGGTGAGGACAGTATCTCCCACCAGAGGGAACTAAGTGGGGTCTTAAATGAAATCTAAACCATAACGCTGCATGTCGTCGCTCTGCTTTCAGCTGCTAATCTGATCGTGTAATCGATCACCTCTGGCAGCAACGTTTCTGAACAACCTGCTACATGTACCAGTTAGTGTCATAACTCCTCATATTTTAGCGAGTTCAGCTGTTGTTGTTTTCTTCTGCCGCTACGCCCACCGACAGTCCAACCCGACCGGTGTATTCATACAACGTGGCTCACTACCAATCCAATTACCATGTGTGCTGAACCAGGTACGTTGTGCAACGTTGAGTCTGGGAGGTAACATTGTGGTATGATGTTCGTGTGGATCAATTACGCAGTGCAATCTGGACGAGGTTTCCAGTATCCATCCGTTTGAACGTCCATTCTCCCTTTTGTTGTGAAAATGCTGGGCCGAAGCGAAGCAAGTTTGTCTTTCCTGTAGAGTGGTGATAATGGAAAACACTTCATCAGGAGCACCAACATAGATATGCTCAAACCTCCATTCTGGTGCATACGGGCAGTAAAAGGAGCACCCGTTTTAAACTTGCGTCATCACGAACGCAAGATCAACAGCGTGCTGACAGTATTGATTTTTTTCTGGATGGGGACACATTTCGGGTCACCATACTCAACCCTAGATTAATTCGATTGTGTACAGAACAATCGAATCCTCATTTTTTACTTTTTCCATAACTCGCTGTGTGGAATACATAATTTTGAGTGCACGTACATCAGGTTACACGAATGTTGACCCAGTTAACGACAAATTAATCCTCGTTGGTCTTCCCAATAGCTAGCTTACCTCCCAGTACAATGGCTGCGTGCAATCGGCGGTTTTCTTTTGGCCGATGATACGCAATAATGAAATCTAGTCAAAACGTTTTAAATTCGAGTCTCATTTTAAGCCCGCGGCGCCAAAGTATAGATCCCTGTGAAGTTAAAACCAGCAATAGGTCCTACCGCTAAGACCAAAAAAACTCTTCTGAGTCCTAAACACGCTGTAAAACTGCCTTTGTGACCTACCGCTGGAGATGCTCTTACAATTCTGAAAATGTAGGGATTCTGTACGTCGTTTTCAGCGTAAAAGTACAAAAAATGCGAACTTACTAATAACGGACTCTGTGAGGGTAAGGACTGCATTGAAACATATTATTGTCCGTTCAACTCTACATTTCCATGTTTAATAGAACGCGCACGCAATTGATATAGACTAGCAGGAAATTTGATGCGATTGACTCAGCGAACAGGACCAAAACGGCAAATTTGGTCGGAATTCACAATGCTATAGATGTAAAAGGTGCAGAGGAGTACTTGTATGCAGGGGTCCCGTTAATACAACTGTTCTTAACCCTTTCGTGAACGCAGGTAGTCATTCGTGCTCACTATACTATACAAGTCAAGATGTTTAGCCTTGAACAGGGGCATGTTGTCCCCTTCATGAACCACGGTACTTGCGGTAAAGGATCTCTCTCTTGATAATGGCAGGAGGATTGGGATTTAGCGGGGGTAGGGGGCGAAGATATCATGAAAGGGGTCTCCAAGTGGCGGGAGCATCTGAGTGCGATGATGAGAAAGCTGGTGCTTGGCCTGAGAGAAGATCCTCTTCACGCAGTACGACGTAGGAGGAATGAATGGCAGTAGAGGGTAGCTGGTACTAGTAATGTGAGTCACGAACTGTACAATCTTCCCAAAAAAAAGCTTATTCCTGAGAAATTTGGAAATAAACTATTTAATTTTAAGTTTCACCGCTTCATAATAAGTTTTTTAGCGGAAATATGATAATATATTCCCAGCAGTTTTATTTATTCGGAACCCCTGCTACGTCCAAGCAGAGAATAATTTCACGCAAAGTGGACAATATGTTTTTGGCTATTACAAATATCTGATTACGGGATCAAAGTGACCAGTGCATTAGAGAATAATCGCATTCAAACCGAGACAGTACTTCCCGTGGACCATGTCTTCCATCTCCTCAACCGCGTTCACCGCATCGCTAGCGTGGATCTCCATCTTCGTCACTAATGTAGGCGATGCTTCCCCTCTCCAGACGGTACAGTACCGCACCCATGGCCGAGTTTACAGCGCACTGGACTTGTAAGTTTGCGCCATTGGACGGCGGCATCACGAGCAATGCACAGTCATCTCTCCGTGCACGTCCTCGACCGCGCTTACAGTAAACGTTGTAGTTAGTCTCATAAAAAAAGATAACACAGTCACCGTTCTTTTGACGGTCCTTCATCGATTTTGCGAACTTCTGCCGCACGGTCTTGTTGGTCTCGTTGTTGCATGTCATGGGCTATATGTGTGTCTGTTTGACGGTGAACAGCATGCCAAGCAAGTGGCGGCTACAGTGTGGTATGCCATCGCGTGCGAATTGCCGTTATTGGCGGCCATCAGGAGCCAGTCTGCTCATTAGTGTCAGCACTACTTTTCGCCTTCTTTCTTAGTAATGTTGCCACGGATACCCAGCCAAGCTGCCCCTGCGCCGTTTTCTGCTGGTTTCTGTCGATGTAGTTAACTCGATAGACTGTTTACACTGTTGAAATATGTCGGCTGCAGTACTAAAGGAAATATTTGTTGTTGCCAGACGATTCTCCGATGCTTTTAACTCGATTTCCACATGAGGAATCGAAGCTTACAGAGTCGCTTCCGTTGGTTTAGGTCACTCAAGGCAGCCGGACACAACTGTCGGAAGGGAGGTAAGTATCGTGACATACATTCACAGCACCAGTACACCCACGCCTGCTCTGCACTCCCAGTCGGATTTTAAGCCTTGTGGAAAGAGATGCGTACCACCACCCCATTGATAAATAGGGTATACCGGCTCACTAGATTCCTCAACTTCTTCTCCGGAATGCAACGCCGCATCGCTAGCTGTATCTACCGTATCGATGGCGACATCGTCACTAGTGCGTAAGTGATGTAGTACACCTGCATCCTCCAATTTCTTCATGACAGATGATGCCATACTCTCACACGTGGGGACACCAGTCTCAATTGCTCGTTCCTCCTATATTTTTGACACTCCGGCAAGCATTTCCTGACACATCGTATTCTGAGACTCGGCAATATTTTGCAGGTCCAATTATCGATATTCAATTTTGGCCTTCAGCTCATTTCGAGCAGCACAGACCTCCCCTAATATAGTGACAAGTGAAGGAAAGCCTGTTCGCTGCATCCTTGAATCGAGGCATTCACTGCGAATGTAAGATTTAAGTTGACATCAACGATGATATCAACTCTGCATCTCCAAATTGAGGTGATTGAAAAATCGGATGGTTGTCGGGTAACGGTTTGCGAAGAAACTCCAATTATTGATAAGTGATCCCAATGCGAACTCTGCATTAAATTCAGCAGATTCGGGTAGACCAGGAAAGCATAGTCGTTTTGCTTGTTGCCCAATTTCCTCGCCATCGACAAAATATGGAGGAAACGATTCAAAACGCTGGCTTTAAAATCGGAAGTCCGCTAACTGTTCGCCCAACAAACATGTCACCTGCGCCATCATGACGAAGATATCGGTCCTGCACCCCCCATTGCCCAACCAGCTCCTAAATGAACTGCTACGGATGGCGGGCATGCTATCCACTCTGACGAGCAATATGTGGAGACCCCCTTCCGCATTGAGTGAGTTCCGAGGTCTCCTGCAGCAACCCCATGACATTCGAGCCCCTCCGCTACCTGTGGTCCTTCTTAGACTCGACCCAACACCTTCCGAAATCGCTCATATTAATCACTTCCGGGAAATAAATGAGAATCAGCATTGTCTACATCATACGTCGACCAATACACTCCTGTACGCACAGTAGAACAACTCTAAGAATACTGATCACTTTAAAACATATTTCTTAAAAAGATGCGTACCGAGAGCGAGAAGGGGGCAGATCTCGGGTGACAACGGATTAGCGTAGACATAGCGAGGATCTCGAGGTCGTGTACTACGTTGATCCATTTTGATGTGCGCGAAATATACACAAAGCGAATCGTCGCGCCACTCCAAATGGCTATAGCAAATTGATGCCGTGTTGGATGCACGTGACATCAGGTTCCACGACATAATCATAAGCGTCCTGGCAAATACCATGTCTCGCGATGGGATTTTACAGCATTGACAAAGCAATTGTTTTATACAGACCAAGCGCCATTGGATCTTTGCCGACTTTGATTTGACTGAGACCCTGGCTAATAGCTGCAGCCACGTTATGCTGTAAACCTTTGAGGTGGCAGCTCATCACACGTGTCAATTCCGTTGACATTACGCAATGGTAGTCTTGAAACAGGTTGTAAGAAGCCAAACGATGACCAGCGTAGGGAGAAAAACTGTGGTACGCTCCATTGGGTTTCTTCAGCGAGACAATCCAAGTCATAAAGTCACGAGCCGTGATGCAAGAAGCATTAATTGGTGGGTTATCTGGAGCTGACGACAAAGCCTGCTTAATATAGTCCTTAGTCGCTTCATCGCTTACATTTAATGTAATGCTGCTCGCAAAGTCGTCGAGTACCAAATTTCTTTTGTTCTTTAGCATCCATTGTAAAAAGCGAGCTGTAAAACTGAGATAAGATAAGACGACCGAGTGTTCGCAGAGATTGTCTTTGAGCGCGCATTTGTGACTTCGGCTACCAAAAGCTGCAAAGCGTCATCTGTGCCTGCCATTCTGCTCGGGACTACTATCCTGAGAATTCACGTATATTCTCAGCCTCTGAGTTACATATAGAAGATTGTATGCCTTCACGAAGAGTCGCCAACTCAATAATCAGAATTTTCGTTTCGTTCGGTAGAACGAACACGTTACCACATCTACTCTCATCATGTAAATTACGGATTAGTATTTTCCATTTTCAGCCAAACCGGACGGACTCCCATTCCAAGCGTCCAGGATTTACCACTAAGTACGAACAATAAATTGTGTTCTAATTAGCAAAGCAAATTGAATGGAAAGCACAATAAATTGTCCCCAAAGGGCATATCGACGTGTCGATGTACAACGGCGCACAGAAGATTTCCCAGATCAACGAGCTTGAGTATGCTAAAGGATTCATCTACGCAAACGTGTGGTACCAGCCTTACATCCTAAAAATCGACCCTGAGACTGGCGGCATTGTCACTATTAGGGTTGAAAAGTGAAGTGCTTCGTGCACAACTGCAAAGTAATGCACTGTGAGGTTTAATTCAAAAGTGAGTCAAAAGTGCATCTGCTTTTGCATGGTGACTAGAATTTTAAATTTCCGGCAGAAGATATTCTTAATTTCAGGCTGTGTCGCTGACCGCACTCACTTCATCTTCGACGCGCGCAACAAGACCACGCTCCCGAGCGTGACAACAGTACGGTGAGTATTAGTACGGATGTGCGGTGCTAACGGCAATCCACTTGCGATTATGATTGATTAGGCCATGCCGAGGCGCCCACACTGCTTGTCGAGTGAGGTCCGAGTGACAGTTCCCAAGGGGGCACATAAGCAGTATCCCAATGTTTTCATGCTCGACGAAAAGGGACTCGCTCTCCTGCGAGACGAGATTGGGCGCTTTGTCATATTGAAAGAGTCGTGGTCCCTGCAAGAACTTGAGGAGCAGACCCGATACGCCCCGATTAGCTTGTGGGGCACCCATATCAAGATGTTTCCGACGTTGACCAAGATAGCACACAGAGTGTTCGCCATCTCAACCTCGTCAGCAGCTGCGGAGCGCTCGTGGAGCACACACGACTGCATCCACTCGAAGCAACGAAATCGACTTAGTTTGGAGACTGTGCTGATGCTAGTATTCATTTACTTGAACATGGGTGACAAGGGTCCAAGCGCAAGTATGACATTTACGACACCTTGGCTAAACAACACTGAAGTCGAAGCTTTCGAAGATGTGCTAGGGGTCGGAGATCTTGTCGAAGATGAAGCTGCTGTCACCGAGGAGCTGGAGTTCGACCTGGAATGTGTTGTCGATGATCGACATTACCCACGTGCCGGTAGAAGCGATGATGCCGACAGCGATACCAGCTCCACGGCTTCTTCGGTGAGATCGACGAATGAGTTGCAGCTCGTGCGCTAAATATTACTGAAACCCCATGACGTTCGAGCTCCTCAGCTACATGTGGCCCTTCTTAGATTCGACCCAACACCTTCCGAAATCGCTCATATTGATCACTTCCGAGAAATAAATGAGAATCAGCATTGTCTACATCATACGTCGACCAATACACTCCTGTACGCACAGTAGAACAACTCTAAGAATACTGATCACTTTAAAACATATTTCTTAAAAAGATGCGTACCGAGAGCGAGAAGGGGGCAGATCTCGGGTGACAACGGATTAGCGTAGACATGGCGAGGATCTCGAGGTCGTGTACTACGTTGATCCATTTTGATGTGCGCGAAATATACACAAAGCGAATCGTCGCGCCACTCCAAATGGCTATAGCAAATTGATGCCGTGTTGGATGCACGTGACATCAGGTTCCACGACATAATCATAAGCGTCCTGGCAAATACCATGTCTCGCGATGGGATTTTACAGCATTGACAAAGCAATTGTTTTATACAGACCAAGCGCCATTGGATCTTTGCCGACTTTGATTTGACTGAGACCCTGGCTAATAGCTGCAGCCACGTTATGCTGTAAACCTTTGAGGTGGCAGCTCATCACACGTGTCAATTCCGTTGACATTACGCAATGGTAGTCTTGAAACAGGTTGTAAGAAGCCAAACGATGACCAGCGTAGGGAGAAAAACTGTGGTACGCTCCATTGGGTTTCTTCAGCGAGACAATCCAAGTCATAAAGTCACGAGCCGTGATGCAAGAAGCATTAATTGGTGGGTTATCTGGAGCTGACGACAAAGCCTGCTTAATATAGTCCTTAGTCGCTTCATCGCTTACATTTAATGTAATGCTGCTCGCAAAGTCGTCGAGTACCAAATTTCTTTTGTTCTTTAGCATCCATTGTAAAAAGCGAGCTGTAAAACTGAGATAAGATAAGACGACCGAGTGTTCGCAAAGATTGTCTTTGAGCGCGCATTTGTGACTTCGGCTTCCAAAAGCTGCAAAGCGTCATCTGTGCCTGTCATTCTGTTCGGGACTACTATCCTGAGAATTCACGTATATTCTCAGCCTCTGAGTTACATATAGAAGATTGTATGCCTTCACGAAGAGTCGCCAACTCAATAATCAGAATTTTCGTTTCGTTCGGTAGAACGAACACGTTACCACATCTACTCTCATCATGTAAATTACGGACAATTAGTAATTTCCATTTTCAGCCAAACCGGACGGACTCCCATTCCAAGCGTCCAGGATTTACCACTAAGTACGAACAATAAATTGTGTTCTAATTAGCAAAGCAAATTGAATGGAAAGCACAATAAATTGTCCCCAAAGGGCATATCGACGTGTCGATGTACAACGGCGCACAGAAGATTTCCCAGATCAACGAGCTTGAGTATGCTAAAGGATTCATCTACGCAAACGTGTGGTACCAGCCTTACATCCTGAAAATCGACCCCGAGACTGGCGGCATTGTCACTATTAGGGTTGAAAAGTGAAGTGCTTCGTGCACAACTGCAAAGTAATGCACTGTGAGGTTTAATTCAAAAGTGAGTCAAAAGTGCATCTGCTTTTGCATGGTGACTAGAATTTTAAATTTCCGGCAGAAGATATTCTTAATTTCAGGCTGTGTCGCTGACCGCACTCACTTCATCTTCGACGCGCGCAACAAGACCACGCTCCCGAGCGTGACAACAGTACGGTGAGTATTAGTACGGATGTGCGGTGCTAACGGCAATCCACTTGCGATTATGATTGATTAGGCCATGCCGAGGCGCCCACACTGCTTGTCGAGTGAGGTCCGAGTGACAGCTCCCAAGGGGGCACATAAGCAGTATCCCAATGTTTTCATGCTCGACGAAAAGGGACTCGCTCCCCTGCGAGACGAGATTGGGCGCTTTGTCATATTGAAAGAGTCGTGGTCCCTGCAAGAACTTGAGGAGCAGACCCGATACGCCCCGATTAGCTGGTGGGGCACCCATATCAAGATGTTTCCGACGTTGACCAAGATAGCACACAGAGTGTTCGCCATCTCAACCTCGTCAGCAGCTGCGGAGCGCTCGTGGAGCACACACAACTGCATCCACTCGAAGCAACGAAATCGACTTAGTTTGGAGACTGTGCTGATGCTAGTATTCATTTACTTGAACATGGGTGACAAGGGCCCAAGCGCAAGTATGACATTTACGACACCTTGGCTAAACAACACTGAAGTCGAAGCTTTCGAAGATGTGCTAGGGGTCGGAGATCTTGTCGAAGATGAAGCTGCTGTCACCGAGGAGCTGGAGCTCGACCTGGAACGTGTTGTCGATGATCGACATTACCCACGTGCTGGTAGAAGCGATGATGCCGACAGCGATACCAGTTCCACGGCTCCTTCGGTGAGCTCAACGAATGAGTTGCAGCTCATGCGCTAAATAGTACTGAAGTTCTACGTAGTAGCTAACATAACGAACAAAAATACTAAACATGGTTGCTTCAAATACTCAAACATTGCTCACCAACGTGGCCGCTACATGTAGTCATACATGATTTTAAGTAATTAAATAATCTCTAAAAATAGCTGTGTGATTGGTCGATCGAAAAGTGCATGCGGAAGTGCATGTATCAAACAATGCAGTTTACTCTCACTATTCAGCTATGTTCGACCTGTCGAAACTGGTCGCCGACATGTGTCTTCTGGCTCTGTGCTCAACAGAATCGCTTACGTCGAAACAGAGGACGTGTTCTACCTCACGGGCAAGCTCTGGGGTTTTGTCAACATGGTTCGTCCCAAGAACTGTATTCTCTCTCAAGACCAATCGCCTTCACATTTCTGCGTGGATTTTAACTTTGCTAGTGAACTCAATTTGCGGTATAACATCTTGATCTCTTCGCTTGAAGCATAGGCATGCAGATCCTACGATAAATGCGATCTACCGGAAATAATGCCGAAGTCAGAATAACAAGTTGAATAAAATTCCAACAACGTACCGGAAAGACAGCGAGCGCTAGTGCAATGGCAGCAATAACTTGGACTTGTGTGCTTAGCTGTTTCGACACGAACACAGCACAACCACGTGAGACACCAGTAGCCGGATTTTTTCCACAAGTTCCGCTTGGAAGTGCGAAGGAGCATGCTACTTGGCACTCTGTCGTGGGCAGATACATGCCTGCTGTATTAGAGCAGGCTTGACGCTGATTGTCCCAGTTAGGCACCACTGGATCTGGTCGAGAGCTTGGGAATAAACTGGTATTGTCGATGCAGTGAAAGGGTAGTCCATATCCGCAACAGAAATTATCTCGCTGAAATTCCAGCACCATCGCACGATAAGAGCCCGTATCATCACCCCCCACGGCACTTTTAGTATAATACGACTGCCATACAAGCATGGCACCGGCGAATTCGTCACTGCGAAAAAAATATTGACACGTCTGTTGGTCTTGGTCACTCAGAGCCTCGTACTTCCCTACCGTAAGGCAAATGACTTGTGCCTCGTAGCTCAACGTAAGCATGGGAGCTCTACTGGCGGCAAGTGCGACCCCACCCATAACAGTTTGAAAGAAGAGTAGGAACACCAATAGAATGAGCTGAGCGAGCAACAGACATTTGTTCTTGGTTCGAGCAGTGGCAAATCCAAGCAACGCCGCAAACAAGTAGAAGATACCCGTGAAAATGAAACCACCGCCCACGTCACGAATTGTCAGGCCCAATAACTGGTGATAGTGCTCGTTATCGACGAGCAGCGCACCCAGAACAACGAGTAACACCATCTGAACGAAGCTATAGCACCCAGAACCAGCCATGAACTGGATAAGGCTCTCTTTGTTGAACATCGTAGCGTGGTGTTATCCCGTAGCATTTGGTCAGGGCAGATTTTGCACTCCAAAGACTTGACATCACGGCCAATTTCCTGTTATTTTTATCGACTGTAGAGGTGAACATTCCTAATCGAGTGTATGGGACGATGTCAAAGTCCGGGAAAGAGCAAAATATTCCGTGGATCTCGCTTTGCACAACAAGTTCGATCATGAGGTCAAAATGTGCTTGGTCGGGCACGAACTCGCCTCCAACACGGCCATCGACGTGGCAATTGCAGTTCGGCAAAAAATCTGCATCTCGTAAGTGCGAGCCCAAACCTGAAGTCGATGTTGGACTTTGCCTTGGAAACCAGGCTCGCTCAGCGTCAATATCGGAACAACTACTTCGTGCAGTCGACACAGTACCAAAAGAGCAGGAAGAATTGGGTCGCGAGTGCGTTGACGAGCTGATCGGTAGACGGAATGTCTTCGCTCGCGAACCTGAATGGCGTCTTCGCACTCTAATGAATGAGGCCGAAGGTGGAGATACCGTTGTACAAGATCAGAATGGGCACGAAGATATTGCAGCAGAGGTGAAAGAGATTATTCGAGTTCGATTCCAGATTGAGGACCAGGCGAAATCGATGCGCCACGTACCGAAACACCAAAAGCCATTATCACGACGATCGGAGTTTAAAAATCTGTGTCGAGGAGGCCTTGCCACACGGCCAACAGTACCCAATACTTTTACCAACAACGCGACCGTAAATATGGCTCACACGATGTCTCGACGCCATGAGAAGAAGGAAGTACGAGCCCATATGAAGCCAAGTGATCGTGAAACTCTGAGAGCGGAAGTGAGACCAGCCAAGGTTGCATCACGAAGCCACCGAAACCAACAACAACAGCATAAACTGGGATCGACCCCGTCAAAAAAGAAGCCATGTTCTTCTGTCACTCTTCCACTTCAGCAACAACCGATGGAGCGTCGATATCAGCTTCGTCATCAAGCACGCGAAGTTCGCAGAGTTCGTGCCGCGGAAGAGCGTGCGATGCAAAAGTTACAAATGTCTGTTACCGATGACAATAACAAGGAAGAGATCCAGGAACAACGACGTATAGAAGAAGAAGTCGGGCGCCTTACTTTAGAGAACCAGCAAGCTGCAGCACTCGAAGAGCGACTGCAGCATCGAAAAGCAAGCTTAAAGTCACTGAACACAGTTTTCGATGCATGGAATAAATATGTTAAATTCAAACGCGAGCATGAAACCCGAGTGGCTGTCGTGATCGACTGGCGTGTCATGAAACGAATTGTGACGAGCTGGAAACGATTTACACATCGACGAGCTCAAGTAAGAGCAGCTGAGCAAACACGCTCGAAATTGGTACGAGAAAAGCATATGAATGACCAAGCGAGACACTCCTATCGGATAAAGCACCTACCCTCCTGTTTTTATCGGTGGACAGCGTTTGTGACGCAGGAGAAGGGTCTGCGAGCAGCAGCAGAGGATGCAGAAAGGCGAAGAGCGCAGTCCCAGCGACTTATTGAGAGGCTACAACGACAGAAAACTTTAAAAAGCCCTCTGCCTAATCGTAATGGTCAAGCAGAAAATGAGTCTCTTGGCATCGAAAAAAGCGTCATTCATCAAGGAACCACGGACGAATGGGCCCCAAGTTGTCGCGGCCGCCCTACTTCGAGAAGTAACACGAAGATATTTGTGACAAATCGCCAAGACAAACGAGAATTGCATGCATGGACGGCTGCAGAAGAATCTCAACAATCTCCTGTCCAAGTACCCTCGTCTCCTCGCTCTTCACAGACTTCTTTGACACGAGCTCCTATGTACGTAGATAAAGTTTACAGGGCCATGGAACAGCGCGCAATGAAGCGAAAGCAACGGCGTGAAGATTTGAAGAAAAGATACGAAGAGCTTAATCAGCAAAAGCGAAGAGAGCAGATAGAGCAACGGGCAGCTCGTGACGCTCTGCTTCTGGAACAACAAATAGAGAAGAAGGCACGGATACGAGAAGGAAAATTAAAAGAGAGTCTCGCGCTGAAGGAGAAACAGGAACTGCGCGAACACTTGCTTGCTCAGTGGGACAAGGCGAAGAAGCATAATCGTAGACGCCTTTTGTACTTCTATGCACTACTTCCGTGGCGAAAGCACCAGAATCTTAACGAACGAGTTGCACGCAATGCAACCCGATGGCACGAGTTACGCTCGGTGTATTTGCATTGGGAACGATGGCAGGCGTTTGTGCAGGTCCGTCGGAAGGTTCATCGTCGACACGAGCGAGCGCGATTGGAGGAGGCTACCCGACATTATGTTTATTCTCTTCAACGACGTGCTCTTCGGGGATTAATGCGCTGCCATCAAACGATGCAGGCCCGAGCGCTTTCAGTGCGTCGTCAACATCTTTGGAATACCCTCCAACGCTCATGGACACATTGGAATGCACGACTCGCAAAGGAACGTGAACACCAACAAAAAGTCGTTTTCAAGGCAGTGATCAAGATGCAGCAAATAAAGCTTCGCCGAATTTGCGCGCGGTGGCGCGAAGTCACAAGCGAAGCCAAGTTCCGCAAAGAACTTGAGCGTGAGAAGCAGCAGCTTTGGCGTAAGGTGCGGGGATGGCTAGACGAGGACGAGTGAAAAGGACAGTGTTGCTGTACACTATTAATCAGAGGTCGGAAATAATAATTGTGATTCAATAAATTATTGGGTTTTGCAATATCAATTTTTATTATTGGTAGTTGACCTTAACAATACAATATGGTAATGGACCAATTACTGACAATAAGTAAAGCAAAAGGTTCCCTGGCAGGACCCGTCGAGGAAAGAAGCGCAACGCGACGCCAAGCATGACACGGTATATGCCTCTGGTGAAGATGATACCGGCAACTTCCAACATCGCTGAACGGCTATTTTCCCAGTGCAAGCTAGTGTTGACACCACAGCGCCACTCCGAAGCACCAGCGACGACGCCAGTACTTGTTGCCAATCGCGAAAGGGTTGGCATGGCTGACGACGTCGAAGATGAGAGCACCGCTGTTGCTCACGAAAGGGGCAACAGCAACAACCCTGACGGCCGCCCCGCGGGCGACAGGGACAACGCATCCGAGCTGCTGGATTTCATGCGTGGTCTGGCCGGACGACTGGACAAACTTGAAGAGTCGCAGTCGAAGCTTCATGAGAAGATCGGGGACAACGAGGACGCCGCGCGCGACGTCAGTGTGCCTACGACACCACCTATGAACTCGAGCCTGTTTGCCACAGGACTCGGGCGCGGAGCACGGATGCATATAGACTCTCTGGCGGTTTTGCCGGAGACTCCGTACACGACGACACCGCGAAGACCAGCGGTGCCACCGCAGTACTTCGGGCAACATCAACCAGGATACGGACTGCCGATGTCGCACATGCAGAGATTGTATGATGCAGCACAGGCTGCCCAACCGGCGATGGCTGCACAAAACGGCAGGACGCGCAGCAGGCTGGAGCCGGGAGGCTCCCAGCCATGAATCAGAATGCTGCGATCCGCTATCCGGATGCACGACAAAAGAAGCTAGCGGTAAGGCCGTTTGACGGCAGAGAGCTCTACGTTGGCCTGGGTCTGGATTCCTCGAGTGGGGCAGACGCTTTGAGCGCCAAGTCAACATCGCGCAGTCGGCGTGTGGCCTCGCGTGGCCTGAGGATGTCAAGGTCGACTTACTGGGGCATTACCTGGCGGGTACAGCAGAACGATACTACCACAAGCAAGTCGAGGCCTGGTGGGGGCAGCTGCCTACCCTACAGTACGTGATAAAGAGAATGCTGGAGGCGTTCAAAACGAGCATCACCTCAGCTCAAGCTATGAAGCTATTCACGATAGCCGAGGACGTCAAGAGATCGTGGTCCGAACACTACATGTACATGATAGCTAAATCGGAGGCGTGTGGAGGCAGCGCAGACTACTTGGTACTGAAAAAACATCGTACAGTACGCGTCCGCGGACTTACGTACTGTACTGATGGCCAAGGTGGACGGAACCAGAAGTGATTACCTGCAGCAAGCGGAGGAGCTCGCCCATTTCGCGCAAGCATAGAAGCCCGAGTCTACAAGGAACAGGAATCTCGGCAAGGAAGTCGTTGCTACCGTGGGTGAACAACGCAACAAGGAGACGCGACGGTGTCGCGAATGTAAGCGAATTGGGCATCTGCGAGCAGACTGTCCAGATCGTGGTCGAGGCCACGACAAAGGGTCGGATTTGACGCTTGCCTTGCGGGACAAGCCAACCGGTGACAACAACGAGTGGATACTCGACTGTGGGTCGAGCAGGCATCTAGTAAGTAATGAGCCTTGGCTCGACGATATTGAGTCGGTAGACGACGTGTGCCTGCAACCTAGCGGAGAACCGTTGAACGTGACGAAGAAGGACACTCTGACACTGCGGGGTCGGCGTGCGGTGCGGAGAAGATCATCAAGTTGACCGATGTGTACTATGCCGCAGGAGTCGTGCATAACTTGATCTCGTACGGAAAGTTGGACGAGAAAGGATTAACGCTGACCTATCGAGGTGGGCAGCGCGTCGTGGCTGTCAAGGACGGAGGCACAGCTGCTTTCGATGTTGGATTGCGGCGAAACGTGTTGGTAGTTTGTGGTGAGGTTGAGAAGGCGCACGAGGTCGTATCGGATGTGATCATGGCCGCATTGGACCGCGAGGCGGGTGCCTCGGGTGATGCGAACAGCGCAGTGCAAAAGGGTTCTATGGTGGAGCTCCATAGAAGACTGGGACGTCTCAGCTACAACGCTGTTGAGCGCCTTGCGCGCGACCCGAGCTCCGGGATTGAGCTCACAGATCGAAAGCGCTTTAACTGCCTTACATGTGCACAAGAAAAGCAGAGTGAGAATCGACAGTCCACCAAGGACAGCGGAGCTCACTCGCCGATCGATAGAGTTGGTGGAGTAATCTGCTCGGACCTCAAGGGCCCAATGACCCCCAAGGACCGGCTCAACAACCGCTACATGATCAACTTTGTTGACCACAAGAGCAACTACTGCAGAGTGTTTGTGGCACACACCAAGGACGCTGCTGCGAAGCAATTTGAGCATTTTCTAGTGTATTTCGAGAAGCATTTCAATTGCAAGATACACGTATTAAGGACGGCCTCGGGAGCCGAGTACCAGAATGTGGATATATTCTGCAAGCGCACTGGTGTGGCTAGGCAGAAGAGCGAGGCACGAAATCAAGCGAGCAACGGGAAAGCAGAAAGGATGCATCGCACAATCATGAACATGGCAAGGTGTATGATTTTTGCGTGCGGGCTCCCTTTGCGGTTTTGGGGTGATGCAGTACAGAACGCTGCATATAAACTGAATAGGTCACCATCGAACTCGAACCCGGGGCGTGCATCGCCGATGAAGGTGTTGACCAAGAAGACGCCGCAGTTGGGTGAAATTGTGGTTTTCGGGTTTCCGTGTACGGTGTACAGGGACCCGCGTAATAAGAACTTCTCGCATAGGGCCCAAGAGGGCATGATTATCGGCGTTGGTGAGAAAACCGAGGGCTGCCGAGTGTACTTGCCCAAGGACAAGGTGGCCATCACAACGCAGCACGTAAGGGACATTAAAACCCTCGACAAGACGCAGAATGAGCAAGTTCAGCGCCTGTACCTACGCGAGGACTCGGCCGAGGCTGAGGAGGAGCAGTCCAGTGCAGATGTTTCGTCTGCTGGTGCGGACGGTACCGCAGGTATGGGGAGTGCGAACGGTCGCGAGAAGACCGCAAAGAGGCGCGGCAAAAAGGCGAAGAAGAAGCCTTGGTCGCGGGAGCGACCGGTAACAAGGTCGGTGGGCCGGGATACTGCTGGAGAGATGGGCGAGGCCGCTGAGCAGGAAGAGGTCAGTGGCGACGTTGTGAACAACGCTGTCGAAGTAGACCCGAAGAATTATAGAGAGGCCATGAGTAGCAGCATCAAGAAAAAGTGGCTCAAGGCTATGGTTGAGGAGCTAGCCGCTGGAAGCAAACGGCGTATGGAAGATCGTGAGGCTACGGCGAGACGTACGTGCACTGCATTCGAAATGGGTGTATAAGACTAAGCGCGATGCAGAAGGACTGATCGAGAGGCTAAAGGCACGATTGGTAGCGTGTGGTAATGAGCAAGAGTTTGGAGTGAACTACGGGATCACGTTCGCTGCCGTCATTGAAATGACAAGTGTAAAGATGATCTTTGTACTGGCCATGAAGTGGTGTGTGCCAGCGAAGCACGGGGACGTACCCAATGCTTACACCAAGGCCGACAAGGAAGCCGATTTGGAGTCCTTTTGCGCATCCCGCAGGGGATGATCATTCCGGAGGAGATTATGAAGGCGTTGGATGCTACAAGCGTGAACGAGCTTGCGCTGGAGCTCCACAAGGCGCTGTACGGTCTCAAACAGGCTGGGTGACTCTGGATAAACTGCTTTACCAGAAACTCGTCGAGATCGGGTTCGTGCAAAGTTTGGTGGACCTGTGTGTATACTTCAGATCCAGGGACGGCGTTTTACTTGAAGTGGGCGTATACATGGATGACCTGTTGGTCACTGGCACCGAGCAGGCGGCGGTCGACGCGCTCTTCGGCGAGCTGTCATCGCTCTCTGCGAAGGACTTGGGGCGTGCGCACAAGTTCCTGGGAATGCGCGCTAACTGCGACGACGAGTGTGGCTATGAGATGGACCAGGAGGTTACCATCAGGGACCTGCTTAGAGAGCATGGGATAGAACTGGCTCACGGTGTGAGATCCCCAGTCGGCGACGAGTGGAACGAAAGTGCGGTAAACACGGGTGAGTTACACCCCGTAACCGGTAGCGACGACACGATCACAGTGTCAAGTTTCCAATCACTAGTTGGTAGTTTGCTATGGCTGGCGCGATACACTCACCCGAATATAGCGTTTGCGGTTCACAAAGCGACGAGAAGAGCGCATATTCTGACGATGACGGACTGGAAGCTGTATCCTGCGCTACTTGGCAGGGACGCGTGCGTTGCGTCTGCGGATGCATGGGAAAGGGGACTCGCGGAAACCTTTGGAAGTTGTGGCCTACAGCGACGCTGATTTTGCCGCAGATAAGGAAGATCGACGGTCGGTGATTGGTGGTTTCATCACTATGGACGGGATGGCGATTGGCTGGGTGTGCATAAAGCAGGGAGGCGTATCATTGTCAACGATGGAAGCCGAATATACAGCCACGTCAGTCATGGGACAGGAGCTACTGGGGATTCGTGAGCTGCTCAATGAGCTGGACGTTGCATTCGTGGAGCCGCTGGTGTTGAAGGTCGACAACCAGGCTGCTTTAAAGCAACTGGAAGGCGAGAGGGCCTCGTCAAAGGCCAAGCACATCGATGTGCGAATTAAGTTCATTGTACATCACACCAGGCGTGGAGTGCTGAAAGCTGAATACTGCGATAGCGAGCACGTGCCGGCAAACCTATTGACCAAGGTGCTGCCAGCCCCGAGACTGAGTGAACTGAGGACGCTCGTAGGGCTACAATAACAAGTGTATAAGGAAACGAAGGGTCGCATCGACCGACGAGGAGGAATGTCGAAGTACAGTGGTACAGACGAGGTATTAGCTGATCCGCAGCCAGGTGCGCGGGCGTCGGCAGCTGCGACGGACCCCAAGATCAGCACAAG